ATGAAAAGTTGCTTTACCTTGGAAAAAAAATAAGATAAACAAACAAAAATTGCATATGCTAAGACTTCCCAAGTTCTCAAGTCTATACCTAGAGCTCCCCAGCAGACAGTTCTTCCAAGCTCAGTAATTGTGATTGAAGACTTGGCAGAAGAGGACTCCCAGGTAAGAACGTGGTTGGCAACCTTTCGCTGGCATGGCCAACCCTTTGCAACGTTGCCCCTACTGTGGACTGCAAGTCACTGCCTCCTCCAGAGCAGCTAGTTGCTTGTGCTTACTCATGCCATTGATCTCAAACTCCTCTGCAATGAGAGTGAGAACAGAGGCTTAGTAGTAGAGGAAAATGCTGCAGAAGGAATGAGCATTATAGTACAGTTCCATGTCATGGATCCCCTATGCTAGATTGACCCTTGGCAAGCCAGACCAGACCTCTTTGAAGGCTGGATCTGGCTCATGAGCCATAGGTTGCCAACCCCTGCCCAATATTCAGTTACCAACAACAAAATATTTAATATCTATATACAGACTTGCCCTGTAGTTTATGCAAGGACTTCATGCTCCAGGGTAAAAAACAGGCCCTTCCAAAGGCAACACAGCCTGATGCCTGTGTGCAGAGGCTTTGATTTGCATCATGATGTGGCACATTGGCAAAGACCAAAAGGGTGCTCTCAGTAGGAAGCCCAGGTCCTGGGCTGCAGGGACAGAGGAGCTTCCTTTCTGCATTAAACATCAGGCTGTAGTTTGCAGGCTATTTCTGTTTCTGATTTTTTTTCAGTACAAATAAGAAGCTTGTATTTAACACCATCTTACTGCTTTAATGCAAAGTCCATAACAATATGCCCACGTTTCTTTCAAACCCTCTCCCCCCACCCTTCTTCCAATTACTCAGTTTTATGGTCCAGCAGCCCAGCTTCTCCACAGGCAAACTGGCTGACCCCTTCTTATTCCTACATACAGGAAAACTCAAGAGAGTTTACATTTTACAAAGGGTTAGACATAACCACTGATCCAAGTGCAGGATTTCCCCACAGTGCTCAGTAAGAAGTTCGATGAAAAACCTGATGCAGGACAGGACATCAAGTAGACGAACTCTTTAAGGGGGCCTTCAAAAGAAAAATGAAGAAGTGAGTTTGTGGTTTTATGCCCGTTTGTTCCTTCCAGCTATAACCGGGGCCCATTTTTTTTTTTTTTTTAAATTCTACCCGACATTTCACAGGGGAAAGGGGAGAAGACAGCATGTCTTTCATGGAAGTGTGAGGTAGGCAAGTCTTATGACCAGCTGAAAATTTTTCCAAATGACCCTGGAGATGTTAATGCAATTAAAGTCTGATTAAGTTAACAAAAAATGTTTTTTAGTTAATATCTATTTAAGGGCTGAGAAAGCTTACAATGCTTATCCAACACCCAGAGTAGTCTTCCAGCAAAAGCACAGAGCATCTGGGGAAGAAAAGAAAAAATCTGAGAGCATAGCTGTCAAGGGCACACAGGGGCTAAGTTGCGAGAGGGGCAGGCTGCTGGAGCCAGAGCAAGGCTGTGTTCCGGGAGCATGCTTCTCAGCCTTCAAATGAGAGGAGCAAGCCTTCAAAAATATGACAAGAGGGTAAGAGGCAGGCCACCTGGGTTCTGCTGCAAATCACATCATTATTTATAAACACAGGATTGGAAGGGGCATTCAGGATTATCAAATCCAGTCCCTTGTGATTTCAGGCAGGCACACAACAAATATTTGTTCATTCCAGCCAGCAGCAGATCCAGGAATAAGGCAGCCTCACCTTCCCCTCCCCACTTTGACTGGACACCGAGCTCAGAGCTCACTATGCATGCATTGCATAGCCAATTCAGCTTCTGCTGGAACTCTGCGTGAACAGCGAGCTCCGAGTTCACCAACTGATCAGGGCGGGGTCTGGGCAGAGGCCCTGCGTTTGTGTGGCTCCAGACCCCAGAGGGTGAATGCTGGTGTTGTTCACCCTTCCTTCTCCACTGAATTCAGCAGCAGGAGAAATGAGGGGAAGAGCTTCAACAGAAGCAACACTCACCCCTGGGCTCTTGAGCAGAGCAAAAGCAGGGCCCTGCCATACCCCATACTAAGAGCTCACACATGGCACAGCAAGAGGGTAGGGAGTGCAACTGTACTGTGGCCTCCCCTCTGGATCCACCCCCATTATCACAATTATAAACCACCTAGTAGCAAAAACTACACAGCCTACCATGTTCTATAGGACAAGAGCTATCAACATTTGAGCCACTGCACTGACAGCAATCCGTTAGGATCATTTGACCATATTTTACCTAGGAAAGGAACCATACCCCCTATGACAGAGGAAGGGCAGGAAAGGAAAAAAGAAAACAGACAAGCCACATATATCCCAAATGGATGTGCTGGGGAGAGTTAAGTGGGGAGGGAATTTCTACTCAGGTTCTTTGGCAGCTTGTGTATTATTAAGAGATAGAAACCTTACATTTAAGAACCAAGTTGTTTTTATTTAAGCTGTTGCACAGCACATTAACAGAAGACTTCAGTTTAGAGCAGTCTCTAATCTTCCATTTGGTTGACAGCAGCCAAGGGCATCATCACCTACCAAGAGGGCTTTAGACTCTGCAACCCCACTCCACATTCTCTCATACTAAGAGATATAACACCCAAGCTGGATGTTTGGCCAGAGGGTTTTTCATGAGGTACAAGATAAGGATACTTGGAGGGGAAGATGGGTTAGTTAATATCAGTGTACTCTCTCCTCCTGTACATTATGTTCAGCCATCCCTTTCCTATACAGCCAGCTACATCTTGGCCCTACTTCTCTGCATGGCTGCATTATAGTTGACCTGGCCTCAGCTTGTTTCTCCAAGGAATAGAGGAAAGGAGCTCAACTGCTGTTCTCCAGAAAGAGCTGGGAGGTTACGGGGAACAGAGTCAATTAGTAAATTTTGTATAAGCAGGAGGCAGTGTAGCCTCCCAGTCTGTGATGAGCCTTTTCATAGCCTCCTCAGCCTTTGTTCGTATCCCAAGCCTGCTGTGGCTCCTGGGCTCTTTCCCAATTACAAGAGAGAATCAGAAGGGTATAGTTACCACAAAAACAGGATCTCCTGCCTTTCCCTCCTCCCACCAGCAAGCTGATTCAGGAGACATGCCACCACTTTATTTTTCAGACTGTGAAAAACCTGCAGATTTCACTTTGATTTCCCAGATATACCACTTCAATTAATCTGAAAAGTACTGAGGATGAACAGGACTGCATAGGTAAAAGGAGGAAGTTTTTCATTGGGAGGGACTAGAGGAAGAGGAGAAGAGCTGCTCTCTTACAAGTCACCTGTGGTGACACTTCAAGAGAAAAGCCACAAGAGGAAGCATTTTTAGGCTTTTCTTCTAAAGTGAATGTTACACACAGGGAACTTATCTATACTTTCATAAGTTAGGTGAGCTTTTAAGACTGAATTCAGTCTCTACCCCCTTGATAACAGATATTTAGGTCCTCATAAGTGCAAGTCTCATAGCAATGCTAACAATAGACCCACTATCAGAGTCTCTGTAGTGTGGCAACTAGAAAAGTAACTGCTGCATTTTTGTGCTTTACAGAATACATCTTCCAAAGTAAAGCAGTACATCAAGGGAGCCTAGCAGAAGACTGACAAGAAATATTTGCAGAGCGACCTAGTCTGAATTGTCTGTGTGTTATATAAAGCACGGAACTCCCTTTCTTAAACATTTTATTAACCTTTTGCTGATGAAATGAGACTGCTGATCAAGAGTTGGATGAGGTCAGTGCAGCAATTATGTTTTGAATCCCCTTCAAACACATATCTTTCAGCATGAAAGAAAAAGCTGATAAAATAAATTGTTGCTGAAACTGAGTCTTTTAGAAGACTAATTAACCTATAATAACCATTCTGGCCTCCTCTTAAGCCTTGAAAAGTAATCTTCTCTCATTAGCCTCAAGTTTAATTACCATCAATAACAAAACCTCCCCCAGAAATAACCATAATGTCAGAGTCCCTTTTACCTGCACACTTTAACACGTAGTACAAGTAACACTGACAGGCTACAGGACAGTTTTCAGAGACAGAGCCTGAAACCAAATTTGTGTGAGCTTTTCTCAAGAAAAGAATTTGAAATGCAAAATAACAGCAGCAATAAATAATATGGCAAACATGCCAAAAAAAAAAAAAAAAAAAAAAAAAGTATTTTGAAAAGTAAGAGCTGAGGAAATTCCTTTGTGGCGACTGGAAATACAGAACAACATTAAAGAGCTTGGCTGGGAGAACTCCGAGTCTGTCCCTCGCTTTCTCAGTGACTTCTTGTGATATCTTAGGTAAATTACTGAGCTTATGTGCCTTCATTTCTTGCTCATTCTTGACCTTTTGGCGGAACTATAGCATTGATATTTGGCATATGGGAAGAGCATATCTTGCATTTGCAGGATGATGTAATTAATCTATCAAGGCTTTTTCATCTCCAGCTTTTATGATCTCCCTAGAAAACTTAAAATGGTACTTAGTATGATAAAATGGTGCTGAGGCTTTCAGGTGAAGGGTGTTCTAGAATATCTAAGTATTCTTCTCCATGCAAATATAGATTTATTCTAACCTGTTAAATAAAAATAAGAAACCAAGAATGCATAGATTTTAATCAGACATTAAAAAAAAAAAAAAAAAAGTGGAGGGAGAAGACAAATACCACATCCCTTTAATGGGTGAAGTGTAAAGTATTTGAATGCAGCCCAGTAGCCAAAAGAGATTAAAAAACAAAACAAAACCAGAAACGTGTAGAAAGACATAACAATAATAAATGTGGAAAACGCCTGCTTTTGAATACAATACAAGCTCCATAAGAACTTTACTTTCTATTCTGCAGTACACATATGAAGTGTGGCATCATTTCCTTATAATAAAACCATACAAGTGTTCTAAGGGGGTCCTACACATACAGTACAATAACAATGTACTTGTCCTATAGTTTCACCACATTACCCTCAGTGTAGATTTTGAAAAAAAAATCACTTACTTACCATGATCAGGAACCAGCCTGAGTCCTGATCACTTTCTGCACTGCTGCAAAATCATCTACTTTTACCTATACCCTGAAAACGGTCCTGGTTTTCTCCAGATGCAGAGTTTTTAATACATAAGGAAGGAGAATGTATTATGATCTGTTCCACCTTACTGTGGACTTTCAGTGCCTTGTTCAAACTATTAAAACCATTTGCATCTCCAAATCTGAATTGGAAAATGTCAAAGAACCTTCAGAAATAACATTCTTAATCACAGCTGAAAACACTTTAAGAACAAGCTCCCTCCTAGCATTACATCTCTATTTCCATTCCTAGCAAAATTAAACAACACAATGGCTCTCAAATCCCCATATTCCAAGTTCCTCAGATACCCAAACTAGAAGACCAAATGCTGCAAGTACTCTTACCACACTAACCTTTTGATTTCCTAGAGCAGGGTAGTACTGGGATTGCATTGCAACTTCAACCCCACCAACTGCCTCCTACAGCTGAAGCTCATCTCTTAAACTAAGTGGCCAACACAACTGCAGCTGCTAAACAGATGTTTCTGAGACAACCTTTGCATAGAAACTTCTTGACTACTACATCACAAAATGGAGCCCCAGATTTGAAATGGCTTAATCTTTGAGGTTTCTGGATCTAAAACATTAGCTCACTCCAAAGTACCACAAGGATGTCAAACAGATGTCTAAATGCTTTATTTTGGATTTGTAGTAGGGTGAGGTTTCAGAAAAAGAGAGGTTGATTCTTATTTTTTTTTTCCAAAGCAGAAACAACTTCATTGTACCACAGCAAGCAAGATTGAGACTACTCAAGTTTCTGGGGTTTGCTACAACAAACAGGGAGCGGAAATAGATGTCCTGCAATTAGTTCTTAAGATCTTGGGGTAAATCTCTATATCTGATTGCTTGTTTCTACTTATAATTTTCAAAAACCTTGTGGTTTGTACTAAAAGACTCATTGTTTCTCTTTCTTAAACGGCATCAATAATAACAATAATATTTTGTACTAATGTATGATTTTTCATCTAAAGAGTTCAAAGGCTGTAATAAAAAAAATTTTTTACAAATGAATGCATTGAGATGTCCAATATTACACATCAAACTAATGACAAAATTGTGTATAGATCCCAGCTCACCTGATTAAAAAATCCTGCACAATCTCTTTGTGCCCCATTCTGTGAAAACCTATGTACTACTGATGCCCATAGGATTGCCTGGAGACTAAGCACAAAATCTGATTTTTTTTTCTCATGAAAGTCTTTAGCAGTCCCCTCTCTGCCCCGAGAGCTTCAATGTAAATGCAAAGTATTAACCAATGGGTTCTTTTCATTCATCAAAGACCATTTTCAACTTCAACAAATAGGCAGACTTTTCCAAGGTTTTTGGCCATCTTGTGTGTTCCCCACCCAGTGTTCATTGTAGCGTAGTAAACTTGCTAGTTTCTGTGTTTATGCTTGCCACACCTCCCTACTGTATGCAAGTATTTAGCTGTGTGTCATAGATTCTGTATGGTTAATAGCTGATTCTCCTTTAGTACCACTGATATAAGTTATAGCTTCTGGAGGCAGAAGGATCTGCTTTCGCTCCATGCTGTTGTCATGAATTTCTGAGTGGCCATGCTGTACAGCATTGTGACAACCATGAAGTTTCCAGACAACCACAGTCATAGATCAAAATATTCATGTAAATTAGAATTTAGTCTCAAAATGTGTTCCTTTCCTAAATATTTAAAGACATAAATAACCTGCAGCCATTCCAGCTTGTCATTTTAAGCTTTCTGACATTTATTGTTCAGAAGAAAAGAAAGGTCAGACTTATCAAATCTGCATTTATGCTTCCATGACATTTTTCTCCAACCAAATTTTTCTGAATTAGGGAAGCAAGACAAATGTGGCACATTTTAGAAAGGACCTTTCTCCTCTCAGCACCATAGTCCATACTGATGCACTGAAGATGTGTCACACAAGGAATTTGCTGTAGTCCAGTGGAATGAAAAAGATTTTGAAGTCAGGAAATCTGGGGTCCAGTTCTCCTACTGTATTACTATTTTCACTGAGGAAGATCAGTGACTCTGAAATTTTCAAAGCAGTGTCTACTTATTTTGGGTGCTTTGTTTTTTAAGCATCCTGTCTAGTTATAACCTGGTTGCTTAAACCTGGTTATAAGAAATATTGAGTACCTACAGCTTTTGTTGATTTCAGATTAAATAACTGGTACTCAGGACATTTTAAAATTAGGCTAAAAAGTCTCAGGTTGGGCACCAGAAACTGAGGTAGCCAATACTAGCTAACACTTTGAATTGCTCTTAACCACTGTTTGCCACAAGTGTCACCTATACCATGCTATATGTAACACTGAGACAATGACGGTTACCTGTCTTTGAGATCTATAGATGACTGCTCAGAGTTATTACATCTTTTCTCACCTCCTTGTCTTTGTACAGCTGTTTCACAAACATAAAATGTCACATACAGACATCATTTTTCTCATATAATATACGTGCAAGATGCATGGTGAATCAAATACCAGACTAATTTAGGACACAGTTCAATCACACCTCTGATTTTGAGGCACATCTTTGAATTTGTTTAATAAAAGAATCAAGTTGTTCAATACACTCCTTTGGGGGAGGTATTTATTTCCTATTTTTTACAGATGAGAAGAATAGAAACAAATAAAGAAAATGCTTTTAAGATGTGCCATAAATATTTACTACTACTACTCATCTTGCTGGGATCCTATGAACCCAGCTGACTTCCTGCCCTTTGGGCAGGGGGCTGGACTCGATGATCTTCTGAGGTCCCTTCCAGCCCTAATGTCTATGAAGTCTATGAAGTCTATGATCCTAAGTGTACTGAGGATGGAACAGGGATAATACCAAGTTACCAGCACCCAACTAAAACAACTAAGGTTTTGAATATCCAGTACTCATAGTGCTTTTCTCATTACCAATTACAGACTGTTGCAAAAAGATAGCTTGTGCATAGATTTGAATAAAGAGAAAAAACTGAGAAAAACTTAAATTGCAGCAGGCAGTTAGCAAACCGTAAATGAGGGTGCATGTATCAAATAAGTTATTTGCTATGAATTTTCTGAGCTCTGATAGAGTCATTAAATAACTTGACCCAAGGTCATGGACCAAGTCAGAGGCATGGCCAGGAGGAGAATTCAGTGATCCTGACTCCCCTGTACCTGATCAAACTAGCAATTAGACATACTGCTTCTTTTAAAAAGGAATGCAAAAATCAAAAAAGCAGACTCCTTGGATCATCTGAACTAACACCGTGGCTGTAGGCACCAGAGTCTGGTTCTCTGGAGAGAGACACTTGTAGCTGTTGCTTGGGTCAAGAGGAATTGGAAAGGACTCCCAAGCCTTCTCTGCATGTTATATAGCAACTGGTGACCAATGCTTGGTATAGCTCTGGCAGCACCCACCCCAACTGTACTCAAGAAAAGCCTCAATTTGTACCATTTGGGTTTACTACTATACAAAATCAGGAGAACCCAAAGCAGCATAAATTACGTCTTTCCTTGTCTACATTTGGGGCTAATATTGGTGCAGCCAGACTAGCTACTAGTTCCTGACTGTTGAACCATAAGACTAGGCAAAATAGCAGGCACTAAGGCAGTGATTCTCAACCATAGTGATATGGCACCTTGGGTTACCCTGAGAGACTTCCAAGGGTGCCACGGAGTGCCATGAAAAGTTAGTACTGTTAGGTGTACAAACATGATTCACAAGATAAGCCCAGAGATTACAAATGGCAATTCATAGTGTTAAAAACATTTGGACCTGTTGTGATCTGTTAGAGTTCTTTGCAGCTAAATAATTGCTTTATTACTTTTCTGTAGTCAAAAAAACAAGTAAAAACTTAAGAGCTAGCATTTCCTGAGGGGTGCCTTGAGTCTAAAAACATTGAAAACTACTGCAGTAGGGAAACTAACTGAGCCACTTGTCTTATGAATACATTCCAGCAGATACAATGTACAATTTTGCAAGATGAGGTCCCAGCTATGGGGTTGTTGGGGAGGAGAATAACAGGCAACAGGGAGATTGTAACTGAACCCCTTTCTACTCTTTGGGCAGGTGGATCACTATTACTGCACCCTCAGAAAATAATAATTGAAAGATATAATTGAAAACAAGGGTTAAATCCTGGCACCACTGAAACCTTTGCCAAAATATATTGGTTTCCGCAGGGCCATGATTCTACCCACAGGGTCTGATTCTTATTTACGTAACTTTAAAATGTATTTTTACATTAACCTTAAGGTCCTTTTCCCCTGGCAGAACAGCACAAAAAGGCTCTAGTATAAATGGTAACAGAGGTCAAATGTGACTGCCTGGAAAGGGCCAGCTTTGTAATAGCTGCGGGAGGGACACCTTGATATATAGTAAGTTCCTGAGAAGGCAGCTCTGTTTTAGACATGGTGTGCATGGCAAGTTAATACAATTCCACGTGAAGGCCATAGAGCAGGAGAAATGTGTCCCCTAGCTAGGGAGAGAGAAGTTATGCACTGCTATTTAAAAAAAATATAATTGGAATTTTAAATCTATTTCATGAATGGAAGTTCTTTGACCTTTAGAGGAAGGAATGACTCATATTCATCCCACGGTGCCCCTTTTTTTAATGCATATTTCCCACCTTTGCATATGTAAGTAGCAATTAATTCTCAGAGGAAGTTATTTTATGGGCATTGTAGCTTATTAAACCTTCTAAGTAAACTCACAAGAAACCCATTTAACTAACATTTGTAATCCAGCTGCTCTACAGTAAGTGTGTAGGCTACCTGGGATGTTACTATAACGGAATTTATGGCACAGTGGTTAGAAGACCATGGCTCTGGGAAGCTATGGATTCGCTGGCCAGGTGATTAGCCCTCCCCTGGACCAAGCCCAAGCCATATCTCTATTTTGCCACAATGGTCCCTGTATGTCCATTCCCCTGTATTTTTGGTGAATGACCCTTCCTAGAAGGTCTGCTAATACACTACTTCAATCCAGATAAGTCCAGCAGTGAATTTTATTCTAGGTACAAAGGAATAAGGAACATCAAGAGGATATTCTATACCAGATGAGTAGGGCGGAGCTGGTCAATGGAACAGAGCTAGCCCTGAATGCCAGGATCAGGTTCTGAGGCCCGGCTCCATCCCCTCTTTGCCCCAAGCCCTGGGAGCAGACCCTGGGGCCCCATACCACCCCCTTACACTCGGATTGGTCCCCAGGGGCCTGGCATTTCCCCTCCCTCAACCCTCCCCAATGGGGTTGGGTTCCAGGGCCTGGCACTACCCCCTCCCAGCCCAGTACACCAGGATTGGACCTTGGGGCCTGACATTACCCTCTCCCAGCCTGCCCCCACCTCCCCCCTCC